AAACAACAGTCAAGTATTTAAGAGAAAATCCTAGAACATGATATCTAGGTGAGCATGGAATATACGACATGAATTAGGATCAAGTGTCAAGGGCCTATTAGCTTGCCTACTAATTTTATACCTGTTAAATATGCATAGTCTCAAATAACAAAGCACAATTTATAGTTGCAGAATTTAAATCGCCTTAGAGGTTTGCCTAAACGCATAACAGTGACGTCCTAAAAACATGGTATCTATATTGATTAGAAATGTAGTAAAACAGTGAACAGTTCTAAAACGGATAACTTGAGATCCTATAGACATGCTTTCTAGCGGTATTAATTAAGGCAGTATTTGAAAACTCATTTAGAGAAACGGACAGTTAATTAAACTAATTCAGAATGAACAAACATTAATTAAACTGATTTATTTAACTAAACTGATTTTAAGTTCTATAGGCATGATTTCTATTAGACCTGATTTTAAAACCTATAGGCATGACATCTAGTTATTAAAGCTGACTCTTGAACCTATAGACATGATATCTAAATATAAAAGCTGACTTTTAACCCTATATGCATGATTTCTATTATTAAAGCCATTTAAATCATATAGGCATGGTTTCTAATACTGTGAAAGTAAAACAAACATAGCAAATGCATTTTTTGAATTAACGCATCCCTATAGGTATGGTATCTAACCGATTTACCCAACATATATATAACTACCCACCCCTTTTTTACTAATCACCCCAATGTTGTCTACAATAATTATGACAGACCAATGAATCAAAATGCATAAATAAACAGTAGTTAATCTATATGGAGCCTGCAGTAGGCCCAAATGACTTCCAAGCCTCCAATAGCCTCAAATGCCAAAGTTCCATAGCCAATTTGGGGTCCAGATATGTCAGAGTTCCCTAAGGGTCTCAAGGATCCCGGGCAGTGCTCACACCTAGACCTTTTCTCAAATAATAACTGATTTAGGTGCAGTGTGGAAAGGCTAGCTCTGACATGCCATAGTTCAGAGAGATCTCAAGGATCTCAAGGCAGTACACATGTCAAAGGGGGCAGAACCTAGTATTCTAAAAGTAAAGTGAGAGTGCATAACAGTTGAAAGAGTTTAATAGAAAGGTATTAGGACTGAAAAGAACTTTTGAAAATCATTAGTACTGAAACAGTTTAAGGAGAGTACCAAAACAACAAACAATCAGTTGGTCATAAAACATCGAGATTCAGAAAAAATACTTAACAAACAGATCTCTCATGAGGATAAAGGGATTGGGGCACATAAGAGTCATATTGGAGTACATGGATAGGGATAGGGGAAGCATATAGTCACAAAACTACATAAAACACTTAGAGACTTAACAGACAAAACAAGGACAGTAAGTAGTTAAGAATAGGTCATAGTGGTGATACAGGAAGCATGACATATCTTGAAGCAGGAAAGAGTGCAGAATATAAAGCATACATTGAATAGGACAGAGTTTAGACATGCTAAGCAAAGAAATAAGCCGGAACACAAGTTAAATTCATAACTGATGAACTAGTGCAGGAATGAAACATATAGGGTTTGAATTTCAAAACTTAACTAGAGACATACCAGTTGAAGAAAATGGTGCAGAATACAAAGCAAATAAAGTTCCAATATCTAGCCTTGGCTTTCAGCCGGCTAGATCAGTGAGTATCGCAAGTAGTAGAAGAGAAAGAGAACTTTAGAGTGTAAGGAGTAGTGATTTTTAAACTAATGTTCGTTGTGTAAAAATTAAAATAAGTGGAGGTTTATATAGTAATCAAAAGCTTAACAAATAAGGTAAAAGATTAATTAAGTAGCAAATTAGGGAAGTCACATGTAAATCAGCAGGTCCTTCCCTTAATCAAGGGACAGTTAAATCAACTGTAACAACATACTAAGTATTTAAGGAAAAAATCAAGTAAGGTTTAGGTATAGAGTAGGTAATTAGGGGTAAATGAACAGAAGTTTTAATTAAGGAAACAAACTAGTAAGAATCGGCAAAATACAAACAAGGCAAGAAAAAAATAATTAAGGCAAACAATTCAATCAAATCGAGTAGAGAGGTAAGAATCGAAAGTTTAAGGGATAGTGTTCAAATCAAACCAAGAAACAAGGAATTCAGAATAATCAAAAAGAAAGCCATGAAAGAGTTAGCATGTTTAGCATATAAAATAAAGTAGAACATGGATAGTCAGGATTCCCCATAACTTTAACAAAACAAATAGTAGAACGACACAGATTCAAGGAGAATGTTACAGGTCTTAACATGAATAGTCAGGATGAACATAAGCATATAGAATCAGTGAAAGGGTCGAACTAAAAAATTCAGTAGAAGCATATTAGGACAAGAAAATCACGAGAAATCACAAGAACCCAAAGCAAGAGCACAATCAGATGTACCAATACTCAGAAACCAAACGAAGAACCCCAAAAATTAGGGTTTTCAGTACAAGCGAGATAAGGTTGTAGCAGACTTACAAAATCAGTCAAAAAAATAGATGAGAAGTAGAAGATTAAACACAAAAAGTCATCAAATAATTTGTAAAAAGAAATTCTGGAAACCCTAGTTTAGGAAAAGATGAAAATCACTTGAAAGTCATACGTTTCTTGTAAAGAATCTTAAGGTTGTTGTAAAACTCACATAAAACAAGCCCAAATTACTTCAGAACTGTATATATCTAAGAAGTTTAGAAAAAGAAATTAGGGTTTCGAAGAGAACAACATAGAGGTGAAAAAACATACTCAGAAAACCATAGATCATAGTCAATATAGGACAATCTTACTCGGAATCACACTGGAATGGCCTGAAACAGGCGAGAGAGGAATCATAGATGCAAGCCAACTAGCCCTGGTCCCTTGAGGGCCCTAGAGATGACAAGATTAACGTGAGGGAGGCCATTGGAGGCCTGAGAGGTGGTGAGAAGTCATCGGATATGGCCATGGACGAGGGTCAGTAAGGTTGTTAGGGTTAGGTTTTGAGAGCGTTTGAGAGCAGAAGGGGGTTTCAGGGCGGCGGGTAGTATAGAATGATAGGGTGTGTGGGGTCTTTTGAGTTTATTTTAGGAATGGTCGTTTGTGGTCATTGATCTCTATGATCAACGGCGAAGATGCACATGCTGTGCAATTAGGCGGTTACAACTGCCTTGTCCAAAGAGTTGCTAATAATGGGGCGAAGTCCATGCACGTTTTAGGCATGTATTTAGCATGACATGCACGTTTTTTTATCATGGGTGATCATAGCCTATCAGTTGGGGTGTCAACTGAAATATGAATACTGAAATGGGCTGACTACACTATAAATATGTGTGTTAGCAGCCCCTAAAACGGGCTAAGTACCTAGAGAGGGAAACTGAGCAAGATGTAGGCATAGGGTTGTCTATGTCAAGGCTTGAGCATGACAAATTATGTGACATTGCCTCGCTAAGAGTGAGCAGCACGAAATGCCTTAGGCAGGGGCTTTTATAGGGCAGTTTGTGCAAGAGTCGGCAATTTTATAAGTTGGTGTCTGCCAAGGTGACAACACCTTGCCAAACTCGAGAGTTTCCTTTGTAATTCATATATTATAAAAAGTTGGGAAAGAGTTCCTGTAAATCTGCTTATCCCTTTACTTATTTATGTTGCCTTGAAAATATTCTAAGTGTTAAACGTCGAAAGCGAAAGAAAATCGGAGTAAGGCTGAGCCAATTTGAGACTTGACTACCGCATAGCGGGCTGTTTTTCGGCGGAAAGAAAACGCCTATGTGACAGCATGTCAGTTTAGGTCCAACAACATATAGGAGTACTCTTTTTGTGATCTACCGCTAGTCTTAGATTGTTAGATTTTCCCCCCTTTTTTTGGGAATATTGTAATTTAACGTGTCATGAAATAAGATTACATCCAATTAAATAATTTTCGGAAAAATTACTACTGTATGTTTTAATTTTTAAAAGGAACTTCCAAAGGCAATTAAAGTAACCAATAAATTAAGAATATGTAAGTGCCAATAAGGAATAAAAACAAAATGGAAGCATACTGTAAACAATTTAAATAGTTTTCCTTGTTAATACGTATTACGATTGATGTATGAGATTACTGAACTTGTGCCTTTCTTAGAAGGTGATAAATTATGTAATTGATGACACACTAGGATATCTTAGAGTAATTGATTTGGTTATTTTGTTGATCCTGTCTCTTGAATACACAAAAGCATGTGCTGTAAATTGCTCAATTTGGTTGAATAAAATTTATCTTTTTCGACCAAAGAAAAAAAACCGACAAGGAACGAAAATATGCAAAGTGAACAGAGCAATCATTTCCAATGAAATAACTTTGTTTAACCATATATTCACCCATCCCCTTTTCAGGTAAATTGTTCTTAGATTTTTCTCTAGCTTCGTCAAGCTCCATATAATTCCATAGAAATTATATTCTCCCTTAACGAATTATTTGGTTTGCGGCAAAATTATTCTGAAATTAATTATGATATTATAATCTTGAGATTAATAATCTCTTGGATTATTTAACATTATTGCTTTGTTTGGTTGATTAGATTGAAAATGGGATATACCATATAACGATCCAAAGCATATGTTTATAACTTTATCCCAGGGTAATTAATCCTGGCGTTATTTATCCCACCTAGGAGATCGGTTATGTAATTTCAATTTGGTATAATTTTATACTTGACTTAATTAATACCCTAAATCAAATATGGAATAAATTTAATCCCAATTTTATACCACCTTATTCCACATGACCCAAACGACCCCTTAACAGAGAGAATACCGTTTATTATCTGCACTATATTTGAGTGTCATTTAAGTGGCACGTGAAAAAGAAGTATCTGGAAACATAAAATATAATGCTAACCCATCAGTATTGAGTAACAAAGTCGTTGTAGTATAGTGGTGAGTATTCCCGCCTGTCACGCGGGTGACCCGGGTTCGATCCCCGGCAACGGCGTCTTTTAAATTTTTTCGCTCTGAAAATTTTGAATAAACAACAATCCGTATAAATCCTATTGCAACCAAACGACCCCCTTAGTGATTCCTTATCAAAGGCAAGGTTCCAGCCCCATGATTTCTGAATAACACCAAAATTTACGAAAGATAATGAGAAGATACTAACTTTTTCAGCAATTCCCAAATCATCTCTTCCAATTTCTCAATCAGAAACCTGCGACAATGTCTGAATCAGAAGAAGAAGAAGAAAAGGCGGATTTGCTTCACGTGAAACGTCGTAAAACTGAAAAAACAGATCGAATTAGCGCCTTGCCAGATTCTTTGATACTTCACATCCTCTCTTTCTTGCAGATGGATGAAGTTATACGAACTGGAGTTTTGTCAAAAAGGTGGCACCTCTTGTGGACTTCAGCACAAACCCTAATTTTCAGTTACTCAGGCCCACATGATCATGGTACCTACAGTAAGTTCGTTACTTTTATTGATGATACCCTACTTCGTTGCCAGCCTAGTAAATTGAACAAGTTTTCGGTCGATTTTATTTACAGCAGACGCTTTGTTCGACACGTTAATAAATGGATTACATTCGTCAAGAATAAATATGTGGAGGAACTGAATCTTCATCTAAGGTCACGAGATTTGAATGAGATTTACAATTTACCCGAGCTTATGTACTCCAATATGTGCTTACGAGACCTAAGTTTGCGCCATTGTAATCTTGTACCAAAAGGGGAGATTAATTGGCCTTCCCTTAGGATTTTAGAAATTGGATATGCTGAATTGAACCAGGATTTTATTAAAAAGATTTGTTCTGGATGTCCTGCTTTGGAGTCTCTGAAGTTTAGGAGTTGTTACGGGATTGGTTGTTTTAATATTGATTCCAAAAGTGTGAAAAAGTTGGCGATCAAAGGCTGTTGGGATGACGATGATGATGATAATGAAGAAGAAAAACAGCTGAGAATATATGCTAGGAATGTTACTTCACTGGAGATTAGCGGCCATTTTCATAAAAAGATACTTGTTCTTCTGGATGTAAAAGCTCTGGTCGATGCTAAGCTAAATGTTTATAGGAAGCCAGATGAGTACATACATAATTACGAGGGTGATTTTAAAACTGATCAGAATATGGTGAAAGATCTCCTTGTGTCGCTCCAGCACGTTGAGAAACTCTCCATCGGAACATGGTGTTTGCAGGTTTGAGCTATCTCTCCATACTTCATTTACTCGACAAAGTTTAGTATTCTTTATTTGCTGAAGAGTTTATAATTCTATGCACTGAAATATTTACACAATCATGTAACTTATAAGATAATTACCAGTAAATTTCTACGATAAGAGTAACCTGATAAAAATGGTCACTAACATGCTACTGCAGATTAAGCTACACGAATAGTATAGACATTATATACACTTAAATCCCTTGCTATGGTAGTACTACCATTTATATGGAAAATTGGAAAATTTGTTACTGCACAATGCAAAGTGTTTGAAGTAGCATATGTTAACAAAGCAATAGCTTTATGTTAGTGTTACTACTCTTCCATTGATTCAGAAGCATTATTCTCTATCTGTACCTTTATATTTATGGATCTCTGCAGTTATGCAGCGCCAGCTTTCAAACATATATTCTGATCTTCAAACAGCTCCTCGATTGTTCTTACCTTAAACCTGCTTGAATAATTTGAATTTCTTTCAAATTTCACAAAGTTAAAAACTTTGAGAAAGAAAGAGAGATAAAGGAAAAAGGAAAACAAAAGAAAGAGGGAGACACTTTAATTTCTTTGCAACCATGGTGGTTTTGCGGATTTAAAATAGGTACCAGAATGGATCCAACAGTATTATACTAGGGTGTTCTTTAGATCTTGGATTGTTTTAGCTGTAAGTTAAACGTATAACCCAATCTTCTGATAATTAATGGCCTAGGTCCTTACGACTTTGGAGATGAGAACCTTGCCATGCCCCAGGATGAGATGCAAATACTTGACCTTAAACACTCATATGAAGAAATGGGAGCTTCCTGGGATAACAATCCTTCTACAAAGCTGTCCTCAGGTTGAGACCTTGAACATAGACATGACATCCCGCTTCGAAGAGGTATGCAAATTCCCTCCTTCTACTACTTTGTTATTCTTCTTATCTTCTCACAAGATCATCTAAACAGAGGCAAACCCAGGTTCTAGAGTTAATGAGTTCAAAATGATCAGTGTGATCTTATTATAGTTTGAGTTGAAAGCAACGAGTTCAGTCAAATCAGCCCTAAATCTGTCTCTGCCTTATATTTTGGACTGATCCTTGTTTAACCAAATAACTTTGGAACGTTATGTTGCAGTATTATTTTGGGTCGTATTTTAAGAAATCTAACGACTTTAGTGGAGGAAATTACTGGATATCAAGGCCTTGTTGGGTGCTGTATCTCAAGACTTTAAGGATTTACGGCTTCTGGGGTGGGAATGAATACATCCTTTCATTTCTGGAAGTTGTGCTAAAGAATGCAATGGTGCTTGAGAAAATCTTCATTGGCTCCTCTAAAAATGAACCATGGATTCCTACAGATGTGGACTACAGAAGAGTTGCAAATAAGATGCTAAGCTTTCCGAGATCATCAAAGGATGCTGTTATTCTGTTCTCTGGTTGAGAATTAAACTATGTCTAGATGTTTAATTAAAAAAATGTGCTTCTGAAATGTTTAGATGTTTTTAAGTTAAGCTCGATGCTTGTCTAAAACATTTTTTTCTTTTGATTCAGTAGACAATTTTTCTCTCTGTGAATTTATATCTTATTCCTTGCAAATGAGGGCTTCCCTCAGCCCTGTTGGCAGTTGATAATTTAAGGGTTCTTCGTTTATCTTAGATTAAACGGTTGAGATAGCTATCCTTTTTTTTTTCCCTTTATTAGCGTTTGATATGTTTGTGTTGTAAATCTTTGCATTTGTTATTCAGGGAGCAGAAGGTAGGAAAGTTTTGTTCTTTTATTAATTTACATGCCCTTTCCTTAGCAAATCCATCACTATGTGAAGATTTAAAGAGAATATAAAACTTGAGAAAGTCTTTCATGAAATGGCCTGAGACAATTGATTTTCCATGTTCGTAGTAATAGTAATTGAACTCCACAAACTCTGCAACTAAATGTTGAATTGATATGGAATAGTACCTGTGATGTAGTTTTCCAAGTAGTTGCCCATTATGAAATTCTTAACTGATCTTGTGTATAGAATTCAAACTTTACATATATGCACCCCAATGGATGTCTCATAATAGTACAGTGTTTTACTTGAAAAAATTGACTAAAACTTGATTAACAAGTAATGTTTTGGTAATAAATAATTATGGAGGTACTATTCTGTTTTGCATCTGATTTTTGGTGCTTTCGTACTCGTTTGCACAATGGCAATATGAAGATAAAGAGTTATTTCAAGGAAGGAAATAGTAAAGGAAAGAAACCTAGTGTAGCATTTGGTGTTTGTACCAACAAAGTAAATTGATTTAACTTTAGATTATCACTAGTTACAAATTTGAGCTAATAGTTCATTAGTAACAGTTCAGTGAAACTCTTTTTATGTATCAAACACTTGTTTTGCATTTATTGATTTGACGCAAACTTATAATTAAAAAAACTAATCAACTGGAAAAAAAAAAGTATTTTTGGATCGAGGAAGGGACGTTGTTCAACTCAAAGTCAATGGAGCGAGTTATAACTTAGTTAAGTCATACATATAAATTTATGTTTATATCCTCCTCTCTCCCTTGCTCATCTTGTAAATCGTTTTAGATTTTTCTCCAGTTGCGAGATTCCATAGTTGGTTAGCATATAAATAACTAGATATTATATGCAATGACAGAAGGAGAGTTAGTGAATAAATAACATATTATCTAAACAGCATACAGCCAAGTCGTTTTAGATTTATATAAATAACGGCGTCTACTACTTTTTGTGGCCAACTATTTTTGTTCACAATATTTGGACTTTTTAACCAAGATCGCAAGGGACCTCCTGAGTGTATCACTTTGACCATTGTGTAGCCAACAGTGCCTGAATAGATGCCACTTGTCTTTTCCAGACTCATAAATCCGTTAACTTGTAACTCATTTCAATGGGAATTTTCAGAGGAACAATGATTTGTGATATCAGATCTGCATTTTTTCATTGATTGTGTGACAATGATAATTTTCTATGTTTGTTTCTGTACATGTATTCCCATCTCCCCCTAATACACATACTAAAAAGCAAAACATGTCATCCCTTTTCCCCTTGAACTAGTAAGAAAATTAATTTGAGGTATGAAGAATAAACGAGTGGAGCAGATGATGTGACATCTACTTTGACAAAGCAGATGATTCTAGGAGCTAAAAGATCAAATATACGCCTTCAAAAGAAAAGGCTGAAAGCTATAAGACACTAACTTTTTCATCTTCCACACCATATCTTTGTACCCTTCCCCCTTTCAGGGTGTCCAAGTTGCTTCATTGTTGCTTTTACCTCCCGCAGTTTACTTTTGTAATCCTTCTTCCATGCTTCAAATCTAACTTTCAGCTTTTGAAGCTCATCGTTAGGCCTGAGGGTGGACGTTTCCTGCCCTGATTTACATTGATCATGGACAAAATTTTGAAAATGATTGACCATATCCATCACATGGTGGTTATTAAGCTGGTTCTCGGAGTTTATTCTCCCATTTTGTTGTGATTGTGAATCATGTACCTCATTGGAAAGATTCAGTGCACTACTTTGAAGGCTCGTCGTTCTTGGGAATCCATCATCCTCGTCTTGATCTTGATGCATCAGTAGTCTTAGTTCTCCCTTAGTTTTTTCACCGCTGTGTGTTTTCCTTTCTGCAGCCAGACTTGTCTGCAAGATTAGGAATTATCGCTTGGTTACAGAAATAATAACAAAATGATAAGTTTCTTGCTTTCCGAATCCTGAACAGATACAAGATTGGATGAAGATAAGCAAATAAACAACATCTTTCCGTTTACTGTTAAGGTCATTGATGTTCAATAAGAAAGTACTAGAATATGTATCTTTGGCAATTCATGAGGTGATCTCCATACAAAATGTCATAGCTCGAAAGAAATTCAGATATCAAAAACTGAACAACATTTGCTTTTACATGAAGACACAGAATGCTCACTTGTACAGACGTTAACTGATCTTGCCACATCTTCTCCATAGCTTTCATCTTTGATTCATACTGATTCCACTTTTTCTCATAATGCTGAATATGTAGCCTCAAAGCTGCATTTTCCTCTTTCTTTCTCTCCAGAGCTGCCTCTGTCCTCAGAATATGCCTCTGAAGATCAAGTAGAACTGAACGCGGTACCTGAAGGGAGTCCAAGCAACCAAACTGGTTAAGATATGTTCTTGTTGATGTTTTTACAACACTCAGAAACCTACTTTTTAAGAAGTAAACCACACCTTAGTTTCTTGCTCCTTCTCGGCATGGTCATTCTTTTTTCTAATGTTCTGATCACATGTTGGTTTCCCATTACCTAAGAGATTGAACTGTTTGCGAGTCAACCAACCTCGAACAACTGCAGAATGCATAGAGAAGCTGAGGACTATCTTCTAAAACAATATATTCAAATCTTTGGATTAAGGATTCTACAATCTATACCAGATTGCAAACGTGTGGCTGCAGTAAGCTGCCGTTCTATTCTTCTATGACGGTGTTCCTTTATGTGTTTCTGTATAATGATAATTGCCGTCAACCTCCTAGTAAGATCCTGATGATACTTTCTTGCAATTTCACCACGCACAACTGCAAGAATGAATGACTATGGTTGAGCTACAATCATCAAAATTTCAAAGGAAAATGAAATACATGAAGCTCTTTGCCCTTGAGGATCAGGTATTTTTTTAGTACTTCTTCTTTATTCAAGTCTGGAATAAGTATTATAGCATATGAATTTTTGAGAAAAATTGGATAATGTGGATTACATTGTTGTAGTGCTACTACTCCAATTTTAATCTGATGATAGTACCGGCGGGCTTGGTAGCCGCGAAAGCATCTCTGAATTCCCACTACTGCACTGAGTTCAGCTCCTTCTCTCAGATCAACGACTAAACAAAACTGTGGAAGAAACCACAAGAATTTCAGCAATTTTTGAAACTGGCAACAGTTGAAATTATATGAGAAATATGACTATGACTCAGTTTTACCAAGTCTCCTGTTAAATATGAATAAAATGCAATCTGAATACACTAATGCATCCTCCTTTATACATCCTGACATCTAAAGAAAATACACCTTAGCAAATAAACGGATGACTGCATTCATTTAAATAAGTTAAGAACTAATCACATCTGCCAACCAATGAAGACAAAATTTGCATTAGGAGAAGATGTAATGTTTTACTTCTCCCAAGAGTCATTTGCCTGCTATAACTTAATGTAGGAAACTGGCACTCACAGAGTCAGAGTACAGTTTATTAATCTTTAATAATATTATCAACACATAGGTGATAATTGTTCTTGAGCCGAGAGTCTATCGGAAACAACCTCTCTACCTTCGTAAGGTAGGGGTAAGGTTTGCGTACACACTCCCTCCCCAGACTCCACTGTGTGGGATTGCACTGGGTTTGTTATTGTTGTTGTTGTTGTTGTTACATAGGTGATAATTAATTATAATTGTTTATGAAGCTATAAGAACCAAGTACCTCATTTGCAACAGTTAAACAAAAAATTAATGCACTCAAGGGTGTATCCTAACGGTCAATGAAGTGAGATAAAATAAGTGGACACTAGGGTTCAAATTCTAGCGGAGACAAAAATCGCTAGGTGATTACTTCCATGTTTAAGCAGAGTTACCTAATAGTGTGATGATGGAAGGTAGCAGGTATCCAATGCAACAGTCGAGGTATGCGCAAGGTGGCTCAGACTGTTTTAACAAAAGTAATCTACTTCATACTTTGAAAACAAGATTCAAGTTGCCCCTAATTTTCCCTCAAAACACATAAGAAGCTTTAATTCATTTCCATTTACCTTATCTGTCATGGCTACAGAATCCCTCTCTGCTGAATCCCATTGATGAACTGGTTGATCAAGAAATACATCTTCCTTTGTTCTTGTGCTCTCAAACAAACCACACTTAACCTGTGAATATCCATCTTCTTCATCTCTATTCTTTTCTTTACCAAACTCTGGCAATTTCCTTCTTCCCTTAGGCAACCTAGCCTTTGTGATTGGCCTAACAGGCAAAGGTGGTGGCAAATCATTTGTATTTTCCTCTGGTTGTTGAAGTTCCTCAAGCATAAGCTCTAGAGTACTAAGACTTCCCATATTCTGATAAGTTGTCACAATCACTGAAGACATAACTTACAGTTCTAATTACACATAAGACACAAACAAACAAATATGTACAACATATCCAAGAACTGGGAGTTTGAGTCTTAAGGATTTGAAAAAGCTGCAGTTTGGCTTACTTGAGATGCCCAAAATCTAAGCATGTTTGATTCTATGGCAGGAATAATAAGGAATTGCATGTGTATATTGTCAGAAAGCTTTGCTTTTTTTCAGCTTTTGCTTTGTTTGAAAGAAGTCTTGAGGTTTATGTAGGTCCAGTTTTTTTTATCATAGCAGAGGACCATTAAATTAAATATGTAAATAAAAAAGAATTTTTGTAGCAATTTTTGGAAGACAAAATGGATATTTTAAACCGATTGAGGCCAGTGGACTCATTGGGTTGCTGGATGATGAAGAAATGGAAACAAGAATGGTTGGTATTATTACTTCTAGGGGACATCCCCTATAGATTTTATAATTATTATTTTCCTAATTTAAAATAATGAATCCAATGTAGAATTTAATATTTTCTATTTTTCTTCTAAGAATTGTCCCTTATAATTGTCGTG